CCCTCCTTGCCTTGTTTATCTTGCCACTGTAATTACCGAAGCCTCTGAACTGGGATTTACGAGAAAATGGAATACTATATACAAACTCACTGATACATTTATTTATATGTATTTATTTAGTCTTGTCTTGTTTGCCTGGAATGCAAGGATCTCAAGTAAGTGAGCTAGTGTAAGCGCAAGTCTGTTTCGTATAAATTAGTTCAATTTAGAATTTACTTTGCATGCGACGAGGCAAGATTTATATTACGCAGCTACATATTAAAATTAAGACTAATTTTAGATAGAGAGCAGTTTGCTTGAGCTTTTTATTCCATGCATTATAATATTTCAAATAGATTCAAGTAGATATGTTTTTGAAATAAAAATATATACAACAGTTAATATTGATATTAAAAATACCTATGTACAACAATTGATACGTAAACAAAAGCTTAAAGAAAAGGCAGAATATTTAGACCCTAAAATGAAATCAAACCTTAAACGTTATGTTTTTCAGTTGTGTTTGCTCAACCACTAATTAGTCTATTTGTATTAAGTGCTCCACAAATGTTTTTAGGATCACAGTGTGCAATACTGAAACATCATTAGGTAATATTTTAAATTGACTTTAAATAAATAAATTATAGTGTATACTAAACAGCTTTCCATATTTATTCACTCCAAAAGAAACTTAGATTATCCCAAAAGATAGTGACAAATTACCAACAACATCGATAAACTATAACACTGAATCGTACACAGTTTCTTCATACCCTACACTCAACATATATATAGAGGTTTATATTATATACATGCTCACTATGTTTCTATCCCCTACATCAAAAGGAGACTATTTTCCATGTTCAGTTATGTTTCCGCTTCAAACGTTCTACCCAAAAGCTATTTGCTTTAAATATAGTTCACACAAACGATGCTTTGTGCAAAGGAGTCGATGTTCTTGTGTGTGCACGGAAAAATACGTGCGCGGTCACAAATTGGAATCTTTTTTCAGTATTCTGATTTCTGATATTGATAGGTTTGACTTTTTTGGGTAGGTGTTATTATAGTGTGGTTGGTAGCTGTTGTGGTGTATATACCTCTAAAGTTGAAAGAATTTACATTCCATGCAATTTCTTTTACGTCTTAGGTAATAGTTTTTTAATGACTTTACAAATATACTGGAAATTTACTTTCACTTAGATGTCAGTCATATCATTAGTACCTTTTAACAGAATACATATATGGACTAACTGTTGCTTGCGACTTCGTCCGCGTCGAATATGATTCCTGTTTTATCCCATGAAAGCATTTAATCGGGAATAAAAGTATTCAATCATCGAAGTCATCCAATATCCTGCCTCTCTACTAAATTTCATCAAAATCTGTTCAGAAGTTTCGGCGTGATTGATGGATAAACGTCCATACATACAAATAAAGAAACATTTTATGATACGAGTGTGATTGGACACATTGTTGCACTGTGAAACTGCTGAGAATCCGTCTTTTAAAAAATCGTGTAAAGTAATCGATTTGCCTGTTGATTTATTGAGGGCCGAATATTCGTAATAGGTCCAAAAAAGTTCTATATCCTATTTAGATTTCTTCTATAGGTACTAAACTCTAATCAACAAATTACCTAACCTCTCTTTACTGAATCAGTTTGAGCACATGTCTATAACTTGTGTTAATATTATTGATATTCTTTATGTCTGTTTGTCGTTCAATGGCTACATTCTTGTTGGTCATGCGATCGTTAGGTCCCTAATATATACGCATCTTAACATAATACTCAAGATACCCTGCTGCATTATGTATGGGGAAAAATGTTCGGATAAGCAGTGATTGAGACTTGGATACTTTGTTTCCATCCGTATTCTTATAGAAGGAAGGTTTGTTTCAGATTGTCAGAATGATCACCGTATTTTGGAGAACAATAATAATTAAAGTCAAGCTTTACCTTATAAATGTTTCTGGAATGTTCTTATATTGAATTGTTGGACATGATTATGTTTGTGATGAACTTGTCCAATTTATTTACGTCTTTAAAAGTTATTTTTCTTTTTATCCCTATCAAATGCTCCCGTGGGATAATACAGGAATCATATTCTACACGGGTAACAATAGTTATTCATAAATAAATATGGCTATTCAAAAAACACCCTTATTATCTCTAAACAAATACTTCTTAGGCTTAGACTAATCCGTTAAACCTTAATACAATATGTTCATAAATTTATAGGCCTTATAATACTGGAAAAGTTTGGTGTTGAATCCCTGCCCTGAGCTGTGACAAAAAGAAAAATTAAATTACTAATTATCTGGCCTGTTCGGTCGTATATATTCATGTTTAAATATCATTAAGCCCACAAAATACTTCAGGTGTAAAGCAGAGTAGCAGTTGGGACCTTATCAGAACTCCACTAGATAATACATTTTGTGGACCATTGGTGGAAGTTTCGATGTATTTTTTTAGTTTGTAGGTTTGATTTTGATGTGAATATCCAGTGTACCTTCTCCCTAATATAGGTTTTTAACTAACTTCATTGTCAGTACGAATATTAAAACTCTCAAGTCCATTACTATTATCTATTTGAATCAGACAAAGTACTTCCATCGTGTTTTTCGTTATATTTCGGGGTCCAAACCCGGAGCAATTAACTTAATAGGGACTAGAAGAGGGGAGCTTAGTTCACCTCTGGCTACCCCTTTGACGTCCTTCTTCAAATATAAGATCCCCAAAGTTTAACCTATCTCCACAATTGTAATCTTACATCTGAAACAGATTCGCGTTCACTTTCCCCGTCTTCATTTCATAGATTGCATTTTAACTCGAGGGAATTCTTCAGATATTCTTTTACCTACTATTCTGCTTACCCACGTTAGATTCATACTATTAACTTGAATGGCATTCATCGAAAAGAACGTAGCGGTGCAATTTTATATATGAGAACGTTCTTAAAGAATCCACTAGAAACGGATCATTTGTAAAGAGAAATTTATCGACGAGTTTGGAGTAACGGCACAGAACCTTCTAGAATTATTTTTCTTTTAAAACCAATATGAAAAGAGTAACTTTAATATATCAAGAGATAATGTTACGTGAGTCATCCTATTAATATCCGAAATGATATAAATATAAAACGAGGCAACCCAACTTATGTAAAAGTAATCAGAATTACCGAACAACCTTAAAGTTGGTGGCCCACACCCGCTAACAAGTCAAAAATAGATTCAAAATTAATATAACCGTTGCCAAACAAGTTTCACGTCGCTACCCTTAGAGTTGAACAGAATTTACAAGCGGACCAATCATAACAAAGTTTGCCAATTTTTACTTTTTAAATCACATGCTGCGAATTTCTATCAGAGAACTGTCGTAAACAAAGCATAATTACTTCCAATCTTCCCAATTTCCTTATTAATCCCACCAGTTCGGATCTCAATATGGCGGAGAGAATGTTTATATAATTACTTGGGACCTTTTAAAGGCAGAGGAACCGATCGAACAATCTTTCAGAACTTCAAACAACTTCCAAGCGAAGTTAAATTGGCTCCCGAACGGATATTTTGTGTGCTCAACCGTATGGGGTGGAATGTTCGTCGGATGATCTTTATATCGTCGTAAAGGCGAGTAATTGAACCCAAGATACTTTAGGCCTTCGCGCCTTACAGTTCCAAGATCGAGGGACGCCGTTAAATGTGAGTGTGTACCAGCCTTTCAAGATGCTCAAAGTGCTTCTGTGGAACCCCGACGCGGCTGATGATAAAAAATAATATCGGTGATTATGGCTTAAAGTCCTCATCTTCTATGGTGATATTTTTATTCAAAATCTCCTATAGTAACGGTATCTCTCATATTTCTGGAAAAATCGAGTGAGCTTTACTATTTCTGATATTCTTTTACTCAGACTTTACTGCAGTTGCGTAGATCGACTTATATCATATAACTCTTACATAATAAGATACAAGTAATATTTTCAGTAAATGTCGAGCTCATCCACAACGAACTTCGAACTTAAAATTATCTTGGAAGCAATCCTTATAATAATGTTCTAAACCCCACAATGATCCTTATCTTTGGTACTTATACAATACATAATTTGCTTAAACCCTTACATTGGGTTAACTTTCCAAAAAGAAAAGATAATCTTCAAAGAAAACACACACATCTACCCTGAATTACTTCTTATCCCGAATCGCTCTAAATACATAAGAGAACTTCTCGTCTGGCAAAGTTTTCAGCGCAAGAATTTGGAATAGCCTGCCTGAACTTGGTAAGTGGATTAAAAGTCCGCTGAAATCATTCAGGGGCTAAGTCTGGACTCCCAGGCCAGTCCCTGAAAATCTAGACCTATTTTCAAGTTCGTTTAAAAGTGATTGAAAAAGAATACAGCGCAAACGGAATTGTAGATGACAAGATTTACTTTGTAAATATATAATTTGTTTCCAAAGTTATTCAAGAATTTGTTTTGTTGTTAATTTACAATTCAATAGTACTTTATTGGTTACTAGGAAAGAGACTGGCATTGTTAACTCAATATAATACAATTCTTAGAAACCGAATTTGTACGAGTATGAAATTTACATAGCCTTGTAATGATTCAGTTTGTTCTGAAATGCATTATCTTGTATTACATAATATAACATCACGCCTTTTATCCCCGAAGGGGTAGGCAGAGGTGCACATTACGGCACTTAATGCCACTGTACCATGTAACACCCACTTTTCACTTTTTCATGTTATGAGTCCCATGTAAAAGGGGGTGAGCCTATTGCCATATACTGGGCACAATTCCAGACTCCGTGCTACCACCGAGAATTTTGTAAAAACCCAGTAATACTTCGCCTGACCCGGGAATCGAACCCGAGACCCCTTCCCCGGCAGTCGCACTTGCGACCACACGGTCAACGAGGCAGTCTTTTTATCTTGTATTATTATTAGTTTCTCACACCCATTGCATCTCTCATTGCAAAAGTATAAGACAAGATCTAAGAAACATGTATCTATCAACACAACTTACCTTGGGAGTGTTGACCTCGCGCGTGGAAATGCCCATTTTCTCGTGGTGTCGCAGCTGCACGGGGTAAATGATCTGATAGTAGTGGGCACCGATATTCCGCACCAGCTCCTGGTTCTGGCGGTACTCGCGTAACAGCCGCTCAACTTCACCTGTAGACAATATATCGATAGTTACGTCACGAATTCATGATGTGGATTGGGTGTTTGCTTCGTGTTTGGTAAAAGATATTTCGTTGAGAAACTGTTGTATTAATCAGTTTTGTTTCTTATTATACATGTGAATTATCATTGGATTTGATTTCCTAAAACAAAAAATGAAAGTGGGCCTATATTAATTGTAATACTTATTCTCAGATCGCTATGCTTTGAGTACAGCTGTGTTATGTAGTAGGAAATAAAAAGAAGTTAGGAATAGTATGAAACCTTTTTGGGTTAAATAAAAACAGAACTATTTACTACATTCACATCTTAGTTATTCTACACAAATAAAAAAATATAATACTTTGAAAGTAACGTACACTCTACTAACACAAAATACAATTTACAATTAAAACGTTTATATCAAAACTTAGAGAAGAAACTCAAACAATTTTCACTTTAAGTAACCCTAAAACCGCAACTCAATTCCCGGGTAAAAATAAAAGGTAACACCTGCATTTTGAGTTTAAGATCACCGGGTTATAAACAGGCAAAGGCTCTCTTTTATGATGGCCTTAAACCCAACAACGGCCAGCTAGATTGGAACTCATTTAGCTCATGAGTGCTACTTGCCAAGTTGAAGCTTGACATTTATATGGTCGCTACGGCCCCTGCGTTGCTGTTCTGGGGTTAAAACTCGGTGTAACGTTTTTGGGTCATGCGTTTTGATAGAATAGTTTTGGTTTGGAATTCTGTCGATTGTTTTTAGACTATCGTGTTGTTTATCTACATATTAGATATATTCCGAATAAAATATAAGCATTTTAGTTCAAATATAAATATTTTAGTTCGAAGTCAAGAAATTGTAAAATTATTCTGGTTAAACTAATTAAGCAGAGCTTTATTAGGACTTACATAGGACTCATATTAACTATTTTGTCATCATGACATGACTACTGGCAAGATATAGCTGGTCAATGTAAAGCTTGTAACATCTTTTGTAACCTGTGTTCTATAAATAAAGTAATTTGAATTTGAATTACTATTTTCCTATTATGTAAACTAGGTACGTCTACATCGCGCCCAGAAAGTCTTAATAAAAAAACAGAAATATTTATTTCATAATATTTATACGACCGTCGTGTGGCACCACAGTCTCCACGCACTAACTCAAGCTTTCTGATTACTTGGTAAAAATATAAAAAAACCCAGCCAGGCAACACACGTGGGATTTGTTTCAACTAAGAAGTAAGAATAACTTGCTCTGTTTGCACCTCACATTAAACAAAGAGGATTTATGCACGCTCGTAAAACAACTTCCCTCCAAGATCCTAATTGAATTAAACTACTTTGTTGTAATTGTGAGCTGAGACTAGACTCCTCCTCCGACTTCGTGTTTTAGAATTTGAATTTTGCCCAGTGACTTCAAGTGTGTCTGCAACAGAACTTTTGAAATCAAATCCTAGATTTTATTATTGCTGATATCAGTACTGCATTTGGCAATTATTTATAACATCATAAAAATATAAAGTGAATTTAATCGAGTGGTTTCAAGTGTAAGTAATGTAGTGTAGGTTTTTATATAAATAAACAGGTTTCCGGTACTGACAATCTAAAAATCTGTACAGGTCGCCACACAAACAGTCTCCACCTGTTTCTTAATTTTTTTTACTATATTTTTAATGTTGCCCTACACTAGGAATTAGTCCTGTGTCGTGTTAGGTGCTCATTCCAAAATGTAGATTCGAATGGAGAAGAACGAGCAAGATACTCCATTCGTTACTCTTTTTAAAAAAGTATGTTCTACAATGTCTCTGGTGCATATTTCAATACTGTACGCATATGTGAGAACAATGAAAAGACACGCTTATTCTCAGATAGAGATAGATATGTAAAGAAAAAAATTTTGCTGTAAAAAATAAGTTACAAGAACAACTTACTCCTATACAGAAAAACAGTTATGACAACATATTAACAGCACTTAAACCAATTTCAATAAACCTGAGTTCCACACGAAAATCTCTCTACATCAATATCCGCAGCACCTTGAGACCTTTGTATCCATAAAATATAGTAACCAGCTTCACCGCGGAAGACGAAGCCATCCATCATTTTGTATTCACTGTCATTCGCAGGGAATGCTCGTCGAGACACTTTTGTTAAGACGATTTTGGTTCAAAGAGTGCGGATAATGTGCTCCGTAATAATAGAAGAAATAGCTGTTCAATGAATTTTCGGTATGGTTTTTAAGTGGGTTCAGAAAGGAGTATTTTAGGGTAATTGTTAGTTTAGATTGCTTTGCTGGTTGAATTGTAAATACAAATGCCAAGCCAGCTAATGAAAGTTTTTAGAAACCGGCTTTGAAGTTATAGAGGAAAATTCATGTTTAAATATCGGTTAATATACTTTTTTTTACTTTTCGCCACACTAGGATTTTCTCCTGTGTCGTGGGTGCGTTTACAAACATATAAGTTCACATACACATGACACTCAGACCCGGAACAACAATCTGTGGATCACACAAAGACTTGTTCCGTGCGAGAATCAAACCCGAGACACGTTGCGCGGCAGTCAGTTGCCCAACCACCGCGCCAATCGTGCATTCAATTCAATTCATAATGGTTTAGGTATCTATGTATGTGTATAAAGGTCAGACGATAAATGAAAACACTTGTATGTACTATTTAAATTCACTATTTAAATTCGCGTTCCGCTACTGCGCATACCTAAATATAGGCTTGTAGGTTACACTTACTACTAGCGTTTATACATGTCTTTGTGTAGTTATAACAATATAACCCCTACAATTGCTATGCGATAGTCTGTCACTAGCCCAACTAGAGCATTTTTTGAGAATATTTAAAAGAAACTTTCTATAGAATTATATTCTCAAAGCAGCATAAATGAATTCTTTACCAATATCTATTCCAAAGAACGTTCACACAACTGAAGTAAGAACTCAATACAAGATGATATTACGTACGTTTTCATCTTCGAAACTAATTAGTGTTCATATCAATATAATTAGATTTCTACTCTATTAGATCTCTGCGGGCAACTCCATCATATATAGACGTATATATTTCTATCACTAGCGAACAAAACCTATCATTCACCTAATTAATATAACATGTCGCGGCGTATACCATAATTAATTATTAATATATGATTGGCAGTTCTGGGACAGGCTTTCATTTGGCTCTATTGAGAGTTCGCCTACATACATCTATGTTGATACTTGAGTTGGGGTCTGATTGTCATGAATCAGGGTGTATGGCTCCCACAATAGGGGATCGATTGATGGGTAGTTTCTTGGTTTGCCTGTCATTATGTTTATGTCAGTTCGACACAATGCATTTAGGGAGATACCCTCTTCTATCTCGTATGACACTCAATATTACTTCATCATAACTCGTTTATTAATATCACACATTAGTAAAAGCTACTTTATATTCCCAAAAATGTCGTCGTGTCTACCTGAACTCAGTCGAACTAAAAAACACGAAACCTCGAAATCAGAGAGCTCAACAAAAAGCATGTTACGCCCGCAATAATCAGGGCGTGAGTCTCTCGTATCCCTATTTCGTAGCGACTGGAATACGCCGACATTGTCATATGCGAATTGGGGCGTACGCAAACGCGGCGTACCCGGCGTAGTACGAGAATACGCCATCTTGATGTTTTGATGTGTAATTAAATTGACGCTGGCTGCTGCACCCGTGTGAGCATGGGAGAGTGTATTGTGCGGATTATCTGTATCATATTGTCGAGCATGAACTTGTTTCGTAGTCAGAGAGAATATGCGACTAATAGTGTTAATTTGCGTAGAAGTGGTGCGTTCGTAGTTTAGATTTTAGGTTGGAATATGAAGTACAGCATTTATACTGAGGTAATTATGGAGAGGTTAAAGAGTACAAATTGCAAGCCTTGTCAATGAATAACAGAATATTACATTGCGCATTAGGTACAACTAATCAGAATATATTATTTTAATCTTAATTCTAATCATTTTTATACGAAATCTGAACAATTTCCCACGTAACCACAGCCAGTAATTTAGGCGCGTGATCTAAAAACGACCGGCATATTGATACGCATTTGGGGCATCTCGAATACGTAATCAGCTCTAGGATTAAAGGGGTGTAAAACAAACGAAATTCGTAAACACAACACCCTTTTACATTAAGTCCGAACTAATAGTAAAGTCGGGTAATCCGTAACTTAATTTGGAACAAACTGCGGTTAGATCGAGAGCTGAGTGACGTGTTTGTGTTATCGAATGGTTCATGTGGGCGGTACACAGGAGGCTGAAATTGAACAAGTTTTTTATCATTCTATCAGACGTATTTATAGTGACTTGATTTAAGTGTTTGTTACTATGTGACTTTTATGAATGCATATGTCTATTGTTTGTTATTTTGCTTATGTGGTCAGATAACTTAGTAAAATGACCCCTGTTCTTTAAGCATTCAATTAAAAGAATCTGTTAAAGATAGGAAAAGATTCAATTCCTAATACACTCAGAAGTCAAGCAAACAGGAGTGTTACTCAACTGTACACATCACAAGCAAGTAAACACTTCACAAGCTAAAACATTAATCCCGAACTTGAAAACACAATTAACACTTTAACTGAAAATTACCTCACTACGAATGTATACACATACACACATACACACATACACATACATACATACATTCTCAACTTTGAAAGCGGAATTAAACAATTAAAACTACAAACAAAATCTTAATCAAGTGAAATAGGTATTTAATTGAGAAATCAGTATACTGCCACGTGTAAAACCCGGTTAAGTTCTTACATTAAATTTAAATGTCAAAGAGGATATTCGCGTGCTTTCAATTAAGTTCTCATAGGATTCAATTAAACTTTGAATGCTCGAACAAGCGGCTAAATCTTTTGTGATAGGGACGCGTCGTCGTCGCCTCGTCGCGTTCTGAGACACGTGTCGTTGTCGTCTCGAACGTACAAAAGAGATTTTTTATGTGGAGTAA